ATCAAATGACAAGGTTTTTTAACCATTCGAGTCAGATACTTCATTTTAATCTACTATAATCATCTCTACAATACTCTGCCAGGTTATTCCCATCCCTCAATTATGGTCAGAGGAGAATCACTGGAGCTTTATTTCATATGAAGATCCTACAAATGTATTTTGGGCTTTCACTGTCACCATACAATTCTGCAAACCAGAATTTCACAATTTAAGCTCTGAAGCCACTTACTCCTTTGGATCTGTAGTATATTATGGATCATGAATGTTGAGTTTCTTCCACGTGGGCTTACTTGACATCTCACTTAGATGGCTGCTGTTTTGAGAACAAGTACAGATGCTATTCTCTCTGATAGCTGGAGACCATCTAGTTTCTTCACCACTTTGTTGTAGCACCCATATTTTCCATGTTTCCTTCATGACAGTATATAGGGAGCAGGATTGTGTTGCGAAATCTAATTGTTTTTAGTTTGGAGATAGGATTAAGTGCGACCTCAAATACATTCCTAAGTCTATGTTTTCTATCTGTCACTGATTCACCTTAGAGACATCTTTGTTGTTTTATAGTAGAGAACCTTATCGATCATCTCCCTGAAGCATAAGGTCATTCTGCTTATAATGTAATTGATTTAACCCATGGTAATATATTTAAAACACAATCAAGAAAAGGCAATTAAACAAGTGTAGGCCAACTAAAGTCACAATACATGGGTTATTGACTTGAACAGATTAAATCCTTATGTGATTGGACACTATTTACATAAACAATGAGAGTTGGTGGTCAGGCAAAACTTACAGTGATATTCACTGACAGGGTCAGACCCAGATCTGCCAGAATTCTATATATCTTAATAAATCAAGTAGGGCATTGAAGTAGTAAGTAAACGTTAGTCTGCCTATCAACAGTTTAATACTTTTAGTATAGCTGTCTTCTACTTCTTCACATACCATGTAGTTTGGGCCTTAAGTCCTCGGGCTAAGGCTGAATGTGTTTGAGGTGTGCAGTCCAGTTCACCTAGTGGGTTTTCCACATCACATCCCTCTGGTATGACCTTTAGAGGATGCTGTCTGCCTCAAAGATCCAGGGTTCAATGTCCCAGGGAAAATGTGTCTCTTCTTATAAGCAAGAAAGGGCTTTCTCAGAAGCTCTCAAGTGGAGTTACCATAGTCTTGTTGGCTAGGACTGCATCCTATGCCCCTGTGAAGTCAAAGAGTTGTGAAGTCAAAGAGCAGAACAGAAAATTTCAAAGGGCAGCTCAAGAAGACAAAGTGAAATACTGAAATGTGCAAAGATCTAGAGTTAGAAAGAACACAGTTAAGACAAATCTTAATCTGAGAGAAGTTAATAAAAACATCTAAGCCATGAGTTGCAATATTGAAAGATTCTATGGGCAGGAAGCATCAAAAGGAGGTAGAAGGAATACACAGAGTCACTGTACCAAAGGGAACTAGTCAACATTCAACTATTTCAGGAAATAGCATGTGAGCAAGAACCAAATGGTACTGAAGGAAGAATTTCAAGCTGCACTGAAAGAATTAATCACAAACAAAGCTCTAGGAATTGATAGAAAACCCAATGAACTGTTTCAATAAGCTGATAAAGCACTGGAAGCACTTACTCATCTATGCTAGGAAATTTAGAAGATGGCTACTTGGTCAACTGACTGGAAGAGATTTATATTTGTACCCATCCCAGAAACAGAATGTTCAAAGTATAGAATCATATCATTAATATAGCAGGCAAGGAGGACCTAATGTCAGGGGTTTAAGTGGAGAGAAAATGTTTTGAGAAACGATGTACAAATGCGCTTTACACAATTGATGTGTGTATGGATTGGGATAACAGTTGTATGAGCCCCTAATAAAATGTTAAAAAAAAAAAAGAAAACAATAAACAATAAAAAAAATAGCAGGCAAGTAAAATTTTGCTTAAGATCATCTAACAATGGTAATAGGAGTACATTGACAGGGAGCTGCCAGAGGTTCAGGCCAGATTCAGTAAAGGACATAGAGCAAGGGATATCATTGCTAATGTCAAATGGATCTTGGTTCAAGGCAGAGAATAACAGAAAGATGTTCACTTGTGTTTCATTGACTATACAAAGGCATTTGACTGTGGATCATAACAAACTTGAAAAGGGGAATTCCAGACCCTTTCTTGTGCTCATGAGGAACTTGTCCATGGACCACGAGGCAGTTGGGTGAACAGAACAAGGGCATCCTGCATGGTTTAACATCAGTAAAGGTGTGCTTCAGGGTCGTATCCTCTCACCATATTTATTCAATCTGTGTGCTGAACATCAGAGAAGCTGGATTCTATGAAGAAGAATATGGCATCAGGATTCGAGGAAGGCTTATTAACAACCTGCGATATGCAGCTGACACAATCTTGCTTGCTGAAACTGAGAACTTGAGGCACTTGATAAAGTTCCAGGATTGCAGCCTTCAATATGGATTACAATTCAATGACAAGAAAACCCAAATCCTTACAACTGGACCACAACTGGACCAATGGGTGACATCATGATAAATGGCGCATGGGGTCATTATAAAGTTGCCAAAGATTTCATCTTGCTTGGATCCACAATTAATGTTCATGGAAGCAGCAGTCAAGAGATCAAAAGATACAAGGGGAACCCCCCTCCCAAAAGTGGGGGGAAAAGCTCTGCCTTCATAGTACACATTTTACCAGTAGGTGATCATCCTGCAACTTGCTCTGAGTCAGTGCACCCAGTGGTGTTGCCTGGGAAGGTTCTCTCTGGTCACAGTGAGTTTTTTCATGAATTTCACTTGAACCTCATTTTTTGGTGATGGCTGATTAAAGAGAACAGTTGCAGCTGTGAAATTTTGTTTCTTGCTCTGGAAAAATGCTACAGAGCTTGTTGTGATGTTGAACACAGCTTACAAGGACAGTGCTATGGGAAAAACTCAAGTGCACGTGTGGTTTTCTCGTTTCAAAAAAGGTGAAGTGTTCATTGATGACAAACCTTGTTCTGGACATCTGTCAACTTCCCAAATAGATGCAAATGTCAAGTCGTAGTGGAGTTCGTTCCACCAGGTCAGACTGTTAATCACGCTTTCTACTTAGAGGCTTGGAAAAGATCATATAACAGTGTGACAAAAAAGGCCTGATTTGTGGCAGATGGGGGACTGGTTTTGCCACCACGATAATGCACCTGCTCACGCCATCTCAGTGGGTCAGTTTTTGGCAAAAAACAGCATGCTATCTTGCCCCACACACCTGACTCACCTGACCTCGCTCCATGTGACTTTCTATTTCTGAGGATGCAGAGGGACATGAAAGGATGGGGACTCGATGATGTAGGAGAAGTGAGGCAAAAAACTGAGGGAGATGCTGTCAGCCATCTAAACAGATGAGTTTGAAAAATGTTTCCAAGAATGGAATCGCAGATTTGACAAATGTATTAAGTGTAATGGAGAGTACTTTGAAGGTGATAAGGTTGTTTTCTAAAAAAAAAAAAAAGTTTAAATACATAGCTTTGAAAAAAAATCTGTTTTGTACATTACAGTGGGTAAATCTACTGCACGAGTGCTGGAAAGCAAAGTGGTGACTTTGAGAACTAAGGTATGCCTGACCCAAGCCCTGGACTTTTTCATTGCCTCATAGGTATGTGAAAGTTGGACACTGAATAAGGAAGACCAAAGAAGTCATGCGCTTGAATTATGGGGCTGGAGAAAACTGAAAGTACCTTGGACTGCCAAAAGAACTAACCCATCTGTCTTAGAAGTACAGCCAGAATGCTTCTTCGAGGCAAGGATGGTGAGACTTTGTCTCAAGTAATTTGAACATGTTGTCACGAGAGATCAGTTCCTGGAGAAGGACATCATCGTCAGTAATGTAGACTGGCAGCAAAAAAAGAGGAAGGTGCTCGATAACGTGGCCCAACTCGGTGGTGCATCAGTGAGCTCAAACATAAGAACACTGTGAGAACGGTGCAGAACTGGGCTCCGCTTCACTCTGTTATGCATGGCATCATGGTGAGTTGGAACCATTTGGTTACAATTAATAACAACAACAGACGGGCTGTGAATCAGTTCATTCTAGTTCAACCTCCTACTGAGAATTTGCATTTCCATCCCAGATATCCTGAACCAGAATCTACATTTTACAAGATGGTATGCATACAGAAAGGAGCCCTGGTGGCGCTGTTGGATAAGCATTTGACTGTTAATTGCAAGGTTTGTAGTTCAAACCCACCAGCCACTCCAGGGGAGAACCATGAGGCTATACGTTCCATTCAAAATTTACAGTCTCCAGCCTTTGCGATCGCGAGGTGTCGAAGGGATCAGGTATAAGGCATCATCAGGACAAAAAATGTTACCATAGTGAATGAAGGGGGGAGTGCAGAGTGGAGACCCAAAGCCCATTTGTAGGCCACTGGAAATCCCCTTGCAGAGGGGTCTTGGGGAGGAGACAAGTCAGTCAGGGTGCGATGTAGCAATGATGAAAAATACAACTTTCCTCTGGTTCCTAAATGCTTCCTCCCTGACCCCACTATCATGATCTGAATTCTACCTTGCAAGTCTGGCTAGACCAGAGGATGTACACTGGTACAGATAGGAACTGGAAACACAGGGAATCCAGGGCCGATGATCTCTTCAGGACCAGTGGTGTGAGTGGCGATACTGGGAGCGTAGAGGGAGAGTTGGTAGGAAAGAGGGAACTGATTACAAGGAACTATATGTGACCTCCTCCCTGGGGGATGGACAACAGAAAAGTGGGTGAAGGGAGATGCCAGACAGGGCAAGATATGACAAAATAATAATTTATAAATTATCAAGGGCTCATGAGGGAGCGAAGAGCGGGGCGGGAGGGGAAAAATGAGGACCTGATGCCAGGGGCTTAAGTGGAGAGCAAATGTTTTGAGAATGATGAGGGCAGTGAATGTACAAATGTGCTTTACACAATTGATGTATGTATGGATTGTGATAAGAGTTGTATGAGCCCCTAATAAAACGATTAAAAACAAATTTACAGCCTCAACCCCCGCCTATGGGCAAAGAGACACCTGATTGGTGGTGATGGTGGTACTCTTAATCAGTCAGTGGCCGAGCAGCCATGTAGTCCTTAGTTCATCCTAGCTTGATGCTTGCCTTGTGGCCAGAGCTGTTTTATGCCTAAGGCACATAAAATTCTAATGGTCAACTCTTAATTTCTGGGCAAGGGTAATTAGAGAATTATTGGTAGAATCCCATTAGGATCCTTGTAGCTATAGTCCTTACCTGTCACCTGGCTCCAGTTCTGTGCCTAAGGTGCAGTGGATTGTGGATATTTATAAGACTTTGCTGGGAGGTGACAATGGATTACAAGTGGTTTCCAGGACTTTTAATTCATGGGTTCGACTCCTCTCGGGAGTACAAAATCATCTATGTTGGTAGCCCACATCGGTAGCTTTTCTTTGAGAAGCAGTATTTTGAACCAGCAATCAGGCTGAGTTCATGTTGTTTCTGCCCTATTTAATTGCCAGTATGATCTGCAAGGGATTTCATGTTCCACTTTCCCCCTGTAAATTGTTTAAGTGGTATTTATCTCAGGGTTGTTGGGAAGAGTACAGTAAACCTGGCACAGTTATGGTTAGTAAGCACACACGCACAATTTATAGCTTCAGAAATCATACATAGGGTCACTATGTGTCAGAATCGACTTGAATACAGCGGTGAGTTTGGGTGGACATGGTGATTCTCAGCAGGGGATCAAAGCCTGGTCTAACCTTAACCACTTGTCAAGAAGTAAACTACCATCAGAATGGCCTAACTTAATTACGATTCACCCCTTGTGGCTGAGAATTGGACTCTCCTCCCCCAAACAAATGATCACGTAGAAGTGGTCAAAACTTGGCCAAAATTGGGGCTCTCTTAGGAGGAAAGGAGTCCTGTGGCATAGTGGTTATGTGTTGGACTGGTAACCACAAGGTCAGCTGTTCAAACTACCAGATGGGGCTTTCTACTCCTGTAAAGAGTAACAGTCTCAGAAATCCACATGGGCAATTCTACCCTGTCCTTCAGGGTCCACTGTGAGTCAGCATCAACTCAGTGGCAGTGAGTCTTACGAGGAATGCAGGAACTAATAGATGTTGGGAGGACAAACAGTGGTGTTTGATCCAGATCATAATAAGGCAAGTGTAAGCCATGTTAAATTAGGTTAAACTGTGCTAACACATGAACCCACAGTGGCTTAAAATAAAGGTATAAACACTACCTAGGTCCCAACGCACCATATATATCCATGCTTGGCTCTCCTATGGATTGTCTCCATCCTGAGTCCCAGGATAACACAGAAATCTCTCCCCGGACAATACCAGTCTTATTGAGGAATAACAAAGATCTTGGTGAACCACATACTGGCTCTTAATGCTTTTCCCCCGCAAGTTGTACATGCTAATCTAGCCACAGCAGCTTGGTCAGAGCAATCTCACCCAGCTGAAATTGACGTCAAGAGACTGTTTTTATTGTTGTGAGCTGCTATTGAGTTGACTCTAATTCACGGTGACCTTAAGATGTTTATTTGTGTTTCACCAAGTATGTGAAGGCATCTGGTGATGTGGATAATAACAAATTACAAGCAAAATTTCTGAGAATGGGAATTTCCAAGCCCTTAAGTGTGCTCATGCAAGAACCTTTGGCAGGGCTTCAGACTGTTTTGAAGGTAATCTTTCAGACAGAACAAGGGGCTAGTGTGTGACTCAGAATTGGAACAGGTGTAATGCAGGGCTGTTTCGTTTCACATTATGTGTTCAATCTGTATACAGAACAAATCATCTGCGAAGCTGGATTGTATGAAGAACATGGCATTAGGACCAGGGAGAAGACTCATGAACAACCTGCAATATGCAGATAATGCAGCCTTGCTTGCCAAGCATAAAGCTAAGTGGAATAAGGAAGAATAATGCTTCTCTAGGAAGGGCAGTGAGAACATATGGACAACTGTATATTCTGTCAAATTTTGCTCTGCTAATTACCCCTCCTCTCCCTAGGGTTCCCAAGGGAATTATGCACAAGAATGGAATTGGTATAGTAACCAGAGGATCATATTATTTTTAAACCATCTAGTACCTAAAAACCACAGAGCACGGCTTTGCCAAAAGACTTGAGTTGACTCATAGGATTCAGGTTTGAAGCTGAAGAGAAGCTTCCTAGTTCTGTGCTCCCCAATCCAAATCTTGGGGCCAGCATTCTTAGGCAAGGCATGCCTGCAGAAAGAGAGACCACGAGTCTTTCAAGCTGTGCTGAAGGGAGACTGGGCTGAGCCTACACGTAGGAAGGGGAAGGATGAGTAGCACACAAGAGCATATGACCTCCTAGCACACAGTGAAATGTGGACTCTGCCCAACCCATGTGGCAACTCCTTCTCTCTTCAGAGGAGGACCTTCTTTCCAGGGTTCCCACATTTTTGCTTTCATGCTGAGTCTCTTGGGGAGGTGGGTGGGAAAGCCCTCTATCAAACAAAGAGCATGTGCAGCGACTAAGCACCTCCTCAGCTACACAACGAGCTCTTCCAGAACGGGAACCACTGCATGTTGGCTGTTGCTGCACACACTCGTACTGTCAAAAAGTCACTGCCACCAAGTCGATTTTGACTCATTGTGACCCTGTAGGACAAGTAAAATGGCCCGTTGGGGTTTCTGAGATTTTATTCTTTACAGGAACAGATAAACTCATCTTTCTCTCATGGAGAGACTTGTGGGTTCCAACCACTGGCCTTTGGGTTAGCAACTCAATGTATACCCCACCATGTCACCATGGCAACTTTGTACGCTCAGTAGCTACTCAAAAAAGGAAAAACAAAACCAAACAAAAGAGCTGCCATAGAGTCAATTGTGACTCACAGTAACCCGATAGGATAGAGTAGAGTTTTGGCCAAGGGTTCCTGAGGAGACGACCTCATCTTTCTCCTCCCCAGTGGCTGGTGGTTTCCAACTCTTCCGTCCGCAGCCTAATGTGTAACCAACTCTGTAACCAGCACTCAGTATGTAAAGAAGAGGAGACACAATTTACATCATATTGCCGGCAGCACTATGCTTGGAAACATGCTTTGAAACCTTTGCAGTAGAATTTTTGACACAGTGAGCTACAGGCCAAAGTGGAACTGCTCCACGAGGTTTGCTGAGCTGCCCATTAGAATTGCTGATCTCAGAGTTAGCAGCCAAGCACTTCAGCACAGCACCGTCAGGGCCCCTCCATCACTTCCTCCCACCGGACACAACTCTGATCCACCGAGCTCTCCATAGCGCTGCCTTTGAGAGCCTTTTCCGCTTTCTGCCTCCTTGCTCCCTCTAGTTTTGTTGCTTTCACTTTTAGTAAGACACAGGATCTCACTGCTTTTAACTCCTACAACCAGATCCCTAGAATTAGAAAATCAAAAGGGAAGAACACACTCAGAATATCAGAAAATGAAAGAACTCGAGGAAAAACTCAAGCCTTGTACTGAAATCATGAAAGATTGAAATCTTGGAGATCATATATATATTTATATAATATATAGTTTAGTCATATAATGATATATAATACATATCATCATGAAATCTTGAAAGATTATATGGGCAAAATATTTAATGATGCAGGATGCATCACTAGAAGATGGAAGGACTACACAGTCACTGAAGAACCAGAAAGAACTAGTTGACAGCATCATTTCAGGAGGTACCGGTAGCATATGAACAAGAACCAATGGTACTGAATGCATTCGCCAAAAACAGGCTCCAGGAATTGATGGACTATCCACTGAAATGTTTCAGCAAGAAGACACTCACTTGGCTATGCCAGGAAATTTGGAAGATAGCTACTTGGCCAAGTGACTGGAAGAGATCCATATTGGTACCCCTTACAAAGAAAGGTGGCCCAACAGAATGCACAAACAATAGAACAATATCACTGATAATTACATGCAAGTAAAATTTTGCTTAAGATCAGCCAACAATGGTGGCAGTAATACATTGCCAGGGAACTGCCAGAAGTTCAGGCTGGATTCAGAAGGGGATGTGGAACAAGGGCTCTTATTGCTGCTATCAGGTGGATCTAGGCTCAAAGCAGAGAATTCCAGAAAGATGTTTACTTGTGTTTCATTGAATATGCAAAGGCATTCAACTGTATGGACCATAATCAACTGGATAAGCTTGAGAAGAATGTAATTTCAGAACAGGTCATTGTGCTCCTGAGGAACTTATATATGGATGAAGACAAAGTTGTATGAACAGAACAAGGACATGTGGTAGTTACATAATCTGGTGTCAATTTGGGACTTGAGAGGATTAAGAGTAAAGGGGTGGAGTTTAGTCTGTCAATTGGGTTATAGCCAATGATGCCTCTGTGTGGGCATGGATTTCCCCTGAAGATTCTGGGATTTCCTGTATTTTTCCTCCTCGGAGGTGGAAGATACATTCTTTCTGCTCACTCCATGTGAGACATTTCTGAGGAGAAACCACACGAAGCTACCCTGAGGCAGTCAGAGTTTTGGAACTGAAGGAACCACGTGGAGACTCCTACAGGCACTGAGATGCTTATGCCACTGGATCCACAAGACTCCCCACCCACTGGCCTGTGATCTTCCTGCATTTGGCATCATTGCATGTGTTTCGTGAGTCTGAAGAGGACTTTATAGATTGGTATTGGACATAGGGGCTAATGTCGGACTTATGGACTTTATCTGGACTAGGCTGGGACGTTTTCTCAATAATCAATTGCTCTTGTATATAAACCTCTTTCTTATATACATAGAAGCATCTATGAGTTTGTTTCTCTAGTCTACATGGACTAACACAGACATACTGCAGGATTTAAAATCATGAAAGGTGTATGTCACAGCTGTATCCTATCACTGTACTTGTTTAATCTGTATGCTGAGCAAATCATCAGGGAAGCTGGCTTATATGAAGAAGAATATGGCATCAGGATTGGCGGGAGGCTTATTAACCTGAGGTACACAGAGGACACAACTTTTCTTGCTGGAAGTAAGGAGGACTCGATGCACTCGCTGATAAAGATTAAGGACTGTGACCTTCAGTATGAATTGCTCAATGTAAAGAAGACCAAAGCCCTCACAATTGGACCAATAAGTAACACGATAAATGGAGAAAAGATTGAAGTCGTCAAGAATTTTGTGTTGCTTGGATCCATAATCAATGCTCATGCAAG